TTTTTTTTTTTTTTTTTTTTGGCACCGGGGATCAAACTCAGGTCCTTGTGCTTGCAAGGCAGGCGGCAGAAGTACTGCGCTAAATCCCCGGCCCCATTTTTCTTGATTTTTGAGACAAGGTCTCATTATGTAGTCCAGGCTGGTCTCAAACTCACAGCGATCCTCCTGCCTCAGCCTCTCAAGCGCTGGGATGATAGGCATGTTTTACCATCCCCAGCATATACTTTCCTAAAATTCGAGATTTGTGTCCAGTCTTCTCCATTTTTAAACAAACTGAGGCCATTGAACAACCCTCGTGTTTGTTTTGTGTTACTATCCTACCCCACCTGGAGACCAAATGTAGGCTTTTGAGTAGAGACCTAGGATCTCAGTCCAAGTATACTACACAAGACCGAGGGTGAATGTGAGCGGGCTGTCCCTCTCCCTTTCAAAGTTGCTGTCCTTTTTCCAAATCTCAGTCTGTTTTTAAAGAGCCCCAGGTGTCTGCCAAACCCTAACCTTTGTTGATTACTTGAAAAGATAACCAGTCTCTCTACCTTCCCTGTTAGAAAAGGTAGATCACCTGTAGGCCATTTACATATTTCAAGTGTGTGTTGCAATGAGGGCTGGCTTGTTAGAATAATGATACTTCAGTACGGTCCCAGACATCACAATTCATTATTTTCCTTTAAAAAAAAAAAAACCCTGCTTAACATTATTCTTCAGTCAGTGTTGCGTTTTTTCCTCTTTATTGACTTATTAAATAGTACCCACTGAACAGTTGTTGAGACTGTTGACATTGTAATTTTTTTGGAATCAGTAATGTTTGCTTAGTCTTTTAAATTAAATCTTCTATAAGGCTTCACAAGGCTGGCCATTGATTTTCTGAATTTTTCCCACCAAACTGCAGTGTTCACAAAAAATAGTTCTTTGCCCGTGTGAGAAACAAGTAAAGATTTTATTTCTTTATCTGGGGGAGCGGAGGGAGGCTGGGAATTGAACCCAAGGCCCTGTGCATGCTTGGCGTATTCCCTACCTCAGCCCTTTAAAAGCTGGTAAAGATTTTTAAAAAACGATTTCCCCTGCTATTTTCCTTAAATCTCCTTCTATCCAGCGGCTTCATTTTCTGTAGATTCTTGAGGCTTTATCTCTAAGATAAACAGTTAACTCCCCTGCCTGAAAATTATGCCTCTTTATTGATTTACAATCCCCTTTGGCCACATTCCATGCCAATCTCCTGGATCAGGGAATAGACCCTAACTTTCCCATCTAGCCCAGAGGATTAAACAGTATCCCTTTTTCTTTCCGCCCCTTCTCCCCAGCCCCAGCCTTTAGGAAGATTTCTTAAGGCCTGACATCAGCAGGAGAGAAAGTAGCTTGTAGCAGCACGGCCTGCTGCGTGTGCGTGCTGGAGGGGAGAGTGTGTAGTCCTGCGGCCTTGCTCTGTGTCCCTGCCTCTGTTTATATAAGATATGTGAATCACCTGGTGCTTTCTTTTTCTTTTTTTAATTAATTCATCAATTATTTTTTTTTTTTTTGGTACTGGACCTGGTGGTTTCTTTTTAAATTAATTAATTAATTAATTTTGGGGGGTACCGGGGATCGAACTCGGGTCCTTGCTCTTGCAAGGCAGGCAGTGGAACCACTGAGCTAAATCCCCGGCCCCTGGTGGTTTCTTTTTGAAGTCACTCAGCCAGAGCTGACCTCCAACTCCTAGCGAGCAGTCCTCCCGCCTCAGCCTCCCGAGTGCTGGGATGACAGGCGTGCACCCTCACACCCAGCTCTAGCCTGGTGTTTCCTTAATTTCCCTGCAGCAAGAGGCCAGTGCTGGTCCTCCAGAATGAAGCGCTGTACCCGCAGCGGCGCCCCTACACCAGCGAGGACGAGGCCTGGAAGTCGTTCCTGGAAAACCCGCTCACTGCTGCCACCAAAGCCATGATGAGCATCAACGGGGACGAGGACAGCGCGGCGGCGCTGGGGCTGCTTTATGACTACTACAAGGTGCGCTGGCTTCCGCAGCCGCTGTTAATAGTTTAATGAGCACTTTGACTCATGGGCTTCAAAGGTGAACTTGTGGGATCAGAGAACCAAAGGGTTGCTGTGCAGGCCAGTGAGTGGCCAGCTGTCCCGGACATCAGAGAGGATGGCAGCTGTGTCACCGGCTCGCACTTCCATGGACCACGGTGCTCTCCGTGCCCAAGATGGGACCCGCCCTGCCCTGTACACAGAGCCCTTTCTGTGACTGTTGTCACAGGGCCTTGATTTGCCGATTGATGAACCTTGAAAAATCACATATTCCTAAACCTGGGACCTGACAGTGCTACATCAGGATATATTTTGTTGCCTGGTTCTTTTGGCCTGCTATTAGAGAATTGCATTAGTTCTTTTTTTTGAGGGAGGAGGTTTGAGACAAGGTCTTGCTGTGTAGTTCAGGACGGCCTCCAACTTGTGGAGATTTTCCTGCCTCAGCCTCCTGACTACTGGAATGACAGGTGTGCACTACCACACCCAGCTGTGCATTGGTCTTAACGAACTAGAAGCTCAGTCTGCAGGAATATGTGCAGGGCACCCTGATTTGTCTCACCGTCTTCCTTATTGTCCCAGTAGTAATAGAGCTGCCGCCGACTGCTGACTGTGTGGTGCCTGCCGTGTCACTGGCACGTGTCACTCCTCTCTCTCAGGTCTCGCAACTACAGCATGTGTAGCTGGGTTTTTGCCCTGTCCTGGTTCTGGCCAGACTGTCCCCTGGGTCACACCCTGGCTTCTGCATTCCCTTAGGCCAATAGCAGATATTTGGGGATGGCTGATAAGAGTTTAGGTTATACCGGGCGTGGTGGCGCATGCCTGTCATCCCTGCACTCTGGAGGCTGAGGCAGGAGGGTCACCGTGAGTCCAAGGCTGGCCTGGGCTACACAGTGAGACCTTATCTCAAAAAGCAACAAAAAAAGTTTAGGTTCCAGTTAAAGATGTAGGTGGAGTACAGGAGAAGCGCAGTTTTTTTGTGTGACCTGTCTTCTTGCCGCTGTGTATGATGACACGCTGTCACTGCCCATAAGACAGGAACTTGAGGCTCTCGCGTGCTTCCTAGCGTAGTCTCCTTGTGGACGCGTGTGACTGTTCATTTTTTCGCTTTGAATTCTTTCCGACCTACTGAGCATTTAAGATAACGGGATAACGGCCTCCTGAATACCTTTACCAAGAGCCCCAGGTCTCCAGTCTCGGCCTTCGGTTCCCTTCTGGCGCTCTCTCTCTCTCTCTCTCTCTCTCTCTCTCTCTCTCTCTCTCTCTCAGAAGAGAAGCAGGAAGACAAAGCAGAGGAGATAATCGGATTACTGAGAGGAGGGTGGGAACTAAGGGCTCCTCGGTGATTTCCGGGAGTGTGGCCGCGTGTCCAGTTCGCACTGTCTCGGGGCGTGCACTTGGATTTTTTCCCCTTTGAGTTTGAACAGAAGCTCTCATAATAACTGGGAAGGGAGGCCAGGCATGGCTCCTTGGCAGGCGATTATATATGTGACCTCATGGCTAGTTCCATTGACTGGATCAGTGTAAAAATCTAAGATGTTGATTAGGAACTTATACATTTGTTGTTCTTTTTTGTATATTTCTAACTGAAGCTTATGAAAATGGGGGAAACCAACAATTTTGTGCCAGAAGGACCAATGAATACCATTAGTTACCGTAGTAGTGTGTGTATGGGTTTTAAATGAATTGTCTTGAGCCAGTGAGGTGGGGCACACAGCACTTGGAAACTGAGGCATGAGGTTGCTATGAATTTGAGGCCAGTGTGGGCTACAGAGTAAGTTTAAAGCCAATCTGAAATACATAGTAAGACCCTGTCCCCCCGCAAATCCCCAAAGAATTAAATTGTCTTAAAAGTAAATATGTATTTTACATCTTTTTGGACTTGGGAACTTGTGCTTTTGAGGCAGGTGGCAGAACCACTGAGCTAAATCCCTGGCCCTTTCCTTTTTGTATTTTACGTTTCAAGAGGACATAAATCCTCATGTCGGTCCATTAAGGGTGATGATTTTTGGTTTTTTGTTTTTTGTACCAGGGTTTGAAATCCAGACCTTGTTCTTGCAAGGCAGGTGGTAGAACTACTGAGCTAAATCCCCGGCCCTTTTTTGGGGGGTGGGGTTGAGACAGGATCTCGCTATGTAGTCGAGGCTGGCTTTGAACTCATGGCGGCTGTCCTGTCTCAGCTTCCTAAGTACTGAAGACACTGATGCTTTAAGGGTGACGATTTTACAGGCTTGTTAGGCTTCTTGCCATTAAGTGTAAAGTTACTTTATTTGGTTTTGTATAGTGAAATATGTAAGATTGCAATTTAAGCCCAGCCTGGGCAACTTAACCTTATGAAAACCCTGTCTCAGAATAAAAAATAGAAAAGGGCTGGGGCTGCAACGGCATGTGAAAGCTCTGGGTTCAATCCCCAGTACTGTGGGGGCAGAAAAAAAAAAAAAGAAGAAAAAGAAATAAAGAAAGTGAGTTAAGACTTGGGTTAGGGCACACGAACCCCAAGGTGCCCGCAGCTGTTCCTGGAGGAAATGGTCCCCCTGAGTCCTGGGCTTCCTGTCCGCCCTGAGAGGTCCAGCATAGCGGGGTGGGCCGAAGTCAGAACGTTGTATCTTATTTGCTCCGTCTGTGTTGGGATGTGTAGACGGGGGTGAAAGCAGGTTTATTGTAGGATCTGGAAGCCGCAGTCCAGTGAGAAGTCCGTCCTTGGTGCTCTGAGTTTTTCTGAGCAAGGGCAGGGCTTTTGCCCCGTCACCGTGGAGACCAGTGTACGCTGTGCCTGACGCGCATGCACACCTGGATCTGGGGGACTGGATCATCCCCACGGGTGAGGACTGAATCTTCCCCTGTGCTCACATCTAAGGTCCCTCGAGAGAGGAGGTCGTCAACAGCGAAGCCAGAGGTCGAGCACCCCGAGCCAGATCACAGCAAAAGGTAATGTTGGATCGCAGCATGGAACGGCACACACAGCCCGCGTTTCCCCAAAAAGAAAACAGGAATGTAAAACTCGGCGTGGTGGTGCATGCCTGCCGTACCAGCACTTGGGAGGATGAGGCAGGAGGATCGCTTCGCCTTCAAGGCCAGCCGGGCTTCATAGTGAGACCCTGTCTCAAAAATACAAAAGAGAACAAAGTGCAAAAGCGGGACGGGGTCTACGTGAGCGAACTCAAAGGGAAGCGATGGGTCACTTGGAGTCCTTGTGTCTACATTGAGGCCTCAGTACTGGTTTGCCTCAGCTGCTCCAAAAAGTGACTTTTCTTGAGGCAGAGTTGCGTTTTTTAGAAAAAGCCTTAACTCTGCTCCTCCAGAGGGACATCTACGGGGGTAACTTCAGTGAGGAGTTTGCTCAGAGGTGCTCTGAGGGAGTTGGCAATTGAGGGGTGTTTTTTCAAAACAATAAATAACTCAGATAATTGAGTAAAACAGTACAGTGAATTGGTCTTCAAACTCTGGTTTTTTTATTTTTTGTTTTTGTTTTGAAACAGGGTCTCACTGTGTAGTTCACACTGGCCTTGAGCCCACTGTGGGGCCCAGGCTGGTCTTGAACTCATGGCGATCCTTCTGCCTCAGCCTCCTGACTGCTAGGATGACAGGTGTGCGCCACCACGCCCAGCTTGAAAATTTCTCTAAAAATCCCCTTCAACTGGGCCTGTTTCTAGGTAGGGAAGCATATTTAAAGTGGGTGATCACTCAGAATCCCACTCATGACGATTGTCCACTTACTGTCCTGTCTTGCACATGCTCGTGTGTAGTTCTCCTTCGGCCCCAGGAAGGATGTGCGGCTTTCCTGTGCTTTTTTTTTGCTTCATAAATATTTCCCACATTGCTCTTTTAATCTTCGAAGCTGTCGTTTGGGAAGGGCTTATTCGTAGCCATAGTTTTTACCTTCTTCGTGGGTATTTTCTCACGCCATGAAGGGGATGGGTCGCTTGAGCCACACGTACCCACGACAGTGCCAGCCCTTGTGAATCTGGCTTCTCCCCAGCCGTCCTTCCTCTTCGCTGGATTTTGTTTTTGCTGGACGATCTTAAAGCAAGCGCCAACTCGCTTTATTATTGCAGTCTGTCTGAATTTTCACCAGAGCACAGAGCCTTCGTGAAAAACTTTCCAGAATAGCTTTCTCCTTCTTTCTTTCCCTCCTTTTCTTTTTCCTTCTTTTTCTTTTAATTAAAAAAAAAATTTTTTGAGACAGGGTCTCACTGTGTAGTTGAGACTGACCTGGAACTCGCTCTGTAGCCCAGGCTGGTCTCGAACTCAGCGATCCTCCTGCCTCAGCCTCCCCAGTGCTGGGATGACAGACGTGCGCCTCCACGCCTGGCTTCCTTCTTCTTTCTTCTCTTCCTTTCCCTTTCCTTCCTTCAGTACCTGGGATTGAACTCAGGACTTTGTGGGTGCAAGGCAGGCACTGAACTGAATCCCCATCCCTCGCCCTCCCTCCTTCCTCCCTCCGGTCTTTTCTTTTCCTTCCGTCCTCCCTCCTTTCCTTTCTCCTCCCCCCTTCCTTTCTCTTTCTTTCCTTTCTTGTTTCTTCCATGACGGACTGAATTCAGGGCCTTCACACTGAGCTGTATCCCCAAACCCTTTTTGATGTTGAGGCAGGGTCTTGCTAAGTCATTAAATTGCCTAGGCTGGGCTCAAACTTGCACTCCCGTTCAGCCCCCTGAAATGCTGGGGTTAGGGCTGTGCGCCATCAACCCTGGCTGGCTTGCGTTCAGCTCCATTCCTGGGTGTGAATGGATGGTTCAGGATTTGAATGACTTTATTGAAATGTACAAGATTACCAACCTGCTTCTTCCCTTAAAGTTTTCAGCCTGTGAGATTTCAAGGGGTGCCAGGCATGGGGTCACATGTCAGTGCCACTGCCGTGCTCACCCTCAGGCTCGGGGAGAGGACGGACACTGCTGTGCCTTGGTACCTGGTGAGGACTGGGTGCAGAGGGCTGACAGAACTTGCTCAAGGTGACAGAACTTGCACCGAGGTAGTCTGACCCTAGAGCATTTTATTTATTGATCCACTTGTTTTGGTGCTTTTAGGCAGGATCTCACTTTGTAGCCCAGGCTGGCCTCAAACTCACGGCAAACCTCCTGCCTCAGCCTCCTGAGTCCAGGATCATAGGCTTACGCCACCCAGTTGACTTTTTAGCACTAGCACTTTAACCCCACCCAATTTTAAGATTAAGTATGTAGTTTCAGGCTTCGAGTAAAATGAGAATTTTAGGGTTATGGGAAAAATAGAGCTATAAGAGGAGAGCTGAGAATGCTCAGTGTTTCTGCTGAAAGTTCCCTTTGTGCTGTGGGAGGTGCTTGCACAGTGACTGAAGTCTTTCTCCATCTCTGGCGACGAATAGATGTGCATTGTGCGACCCGAATCCTGGGGGCTGGGGCGTGGCTTGCGCACAACCCAAGATCCAGTCCACAGCACAAGAGTTGAAAAGGCTTCGCAAAGCATTATCTGAACGTCCAGCGTGCAGACGTCATTTTGTTTTGCCGTTTTTACAGAAACAGTCTCCCGAACGTGGCAGAGCAGTCCCTGATTTCCGCCGGGGAAAACAGGGTGCAGGTCCTGAAGAACGTGCCCTTTAACATCGTGCTCCCCCACGGCAACCCGCTGGGCACCGACAAGCGCGGCCACCTCCCGGCGCCTGACACCACCGTCACCGTCTCCATAGCGACCATGCCCACCCACTCCATCAAGACCGAGATGCCGCCGCACGGCTTCGCGGTGGGGCTGCCCCCCGCCGTGTACCACCCGGAGCCCCCCGAGCGGGTGGTGGTCTTCGACCGGAACCTCAGCGCCGAGCAGTTCGGCTCCGGGGCTCAGCCCCCCAGCGCCCAGCGGCGCACCCCGGACTCCACTTTCTCCGAGCCCTTCAAGGAGGGCGTGCAGGAGGTACGGGAAAGCAGACGCCCAGACTGCTGTGTTTGTCTGAGTATTGGGTTCCACCTTTCCCTTGTTACGTAAGCCTGAAACCCAGCCCGAAATGGATGGAGTAGGAAGAAAAGATTTTTCTTCCTTAAGAGAAAAGGCCCTTGGGTATAACTTGTAAGCTAAACCTATAAATCCAGACATTATTATGAGAGGCACATGGCTAATCTTACCAGCCGCTCATTAACTAGGGTTTCAGCTAAGTGAGTCGCTCCAGAAGGAGAGGGCCGTGTGTGAGGCTCCCCTGAGCCCAGATGAGTCCACAGGTTCTGTGTGCAGCTTTTGACCCGGCCCAGGTGAGCTCCTAGCTGGCCTTTAGTGCGTCCGCCTGGCTGAAGGCACCGCAGGGGACAGAGGGAGGCCGCAGGTGTGGCCTGGGACGTTTACAGATCCCTCGCACTGCTTCCAAGGGTTTATGGTCACGCACTTCTCACCCCTGTAAAGGTGAGGGGCTCGTGGCGTCTGAACCATTCTTAGTGCGCTGCGTGGGGAGGCAGCGGCTTCTGTGTGCGTGGGTGGGGTTAGTGGGTGGAGCCTGTCATTTCTGGAGCAAGTGGATCGGACTTTCCATCCTCGAAGAACTCCCCGCCCCGCCTTCGTGACGTTTTGTTTGCATAATCTGGAGTTGGAACAGAATTGGGATAGGCGGGAAAGACAGAAAAGGGCTAAGAAATCCCAGGCATTTTGTAGATCCCCTGCACGACTGTCTTAATTTTCTTGAGTGGTGTATAAAAGTAGACATTTTCTTTTTATGATTTTTTTTTTAATAGACGGTTTCGCTGTGTAGTTCGGGCTGGCCTCAACTCCCTAGGAGTCCAGGCTATCCTCCAACCCTTGGCGATCCTCCTGCTTCAGCCTCCCAAGTGCTGGGATGACAAGCATGTGCCACCATACCCAGCTTATAGTTTTCTGTTTTTTAAATTTGCACTTGTTACACATTCAAAAGTTTGCTTTTGAGATGGACATTGAAAGGGTAGCAAGTTGCCAAAAGCCGCACTCTTCGCCGTGGCAGAGCCTGGCCTGAGTAACTGCCGATGTTGAAGGGTTATGGCTTATCACGTTGCTGTTTCAGGTTTTCTTCCCCTCGGATCTCAGCCTGCGGATGCCTGGCATGAACTCAGAGGACTATGTGTTTGACAGTGTTTCTGGGTAATAGTTGCCTTTTCCTTTGACGGTTCGTTCGCAGTGCATCTCATCTCTTCCTTTTTTGTCGCTCACAAATCGAGGTGGCTTTGGGTGGCGCTTTCTCCTCACCTGACCGCTGCCTGGCCTGGGCTCGTGGGTTCTGGGCTCCTCGAAGTCTCTCCAGTTTCTTCATCCTCTGGTGTTGGTGCCTCTTCTTCCTCGGCTTCTCTCTGGGTTGTAGATGGGTAGAGTTGAAAGGAGAGATGGGATTAGACCTGAGGGCGAGGCCTCTTGTCTTCCTAGTGTGGATGCTTACGTGAGAATTGGGTAACAGCGAGCAGACAAAGGCCCTTACTTCTGATTAACCTTTATTTGTTTGTTTGTTTATCTATTTATTTATTTATTTATTTGTACCGGGGATTGAACTCAGGAGCTTGCACTTGAGAGGCAGGCAGCGGAACCACTGAGCTAAATCCCCAGCCCTGAAAGCTTCATTTTAGCATCCCAAAGTTATAACCCTCTCTGGAGAAAGGAGTGTCGTCCAGTTACTGGGAACATGCATGAAGAATTTCAGGAGCCAGAGATTTAGCTCAGTGGTTCCTGCCACCTGCCTCACAGGTGCAAAGACCCGAGTTCGATCCCCAGTACCAAAAAATCCCAAAAAAGGCATTTCAGGTTTTTTAGGAGCCTGGGACTTTCCAGTTTATCCTTTCTTGTGTGCGTCTGCTCTGACCTATATTAGGTTTGCAGTAGAGAAAGGTTCTCTAGGATTTTCTGGAAACTGAGACTTTCCCTAGCGCCTCAGATGCCTTTAAGGCTTGGGATGGGGCCAGCACCCCTTTTCTCTACCAAGTCCGAGTAAAAGCGGAGGGCTTTGTGAGCGCCCAGATCGGCCGTCAGTGTAGTTGGCCCTGCAGGATGTATAACACACAGTGCAGCTGTGTTGATAGAACTGCTTACTGGGGTCAAGCGTTGTGGCGTACACTATAACCCCAGCACTCGGAGGCCGAGGCAGGAGCATCACCACAAGTTCGAGGTCAGCCTGAACTGCATATTGAGACCCTGTCTAGAAAAAAGAGAGAAGCAGTAGCAGTTGCTCTTGTGCACCTCATTCTAGCCTGCTCATACAGACTGATCAGAAGAGCTTTATCCACAAGCATAGAGGTAACCTGCTGCCCTCTGGTGCAGGGAGGTTATAAAAGGGGTGTCTGCGTGGCAGTGGAAGGCATAGGGAATAGAGGACCAAAGCAGTTCAGCATATAGCCCAGGCTGGCTTCACACTTAGAGCAGTCCTCCTGCCTCAGCCTCTCAAGTGCTGGGATTCCATGCTCAGCTCAAATCTGGTTCAATGCAGGGCTTCCAGCTGCCTTTCTGTCACTTTTGCTGGAGAAATCCCACACTGGCGGTGTGTCCTGTGAGGTCCCTGTCATGGGCCTTGTCACCTGCTGATCCCCTCACAGCCTCAGTCTCCAGAATTGTAGCGTAGAAGCTGTGGCCCCGTATGAGACTCGGGTGTCTGGTGGCTTGGTGCTCGCAGTCTTCACCCCGTGAAGGGAACACGTGCCACTTAGAGTCTGAGGAACTTGGTGGATGTCCCATTTGGGTACTCGTCCCAGTTGGGCGCCCACACGGGGACTTTTCAGGATCCCAGGTTCAAGATCTGCGACCTCTTGTCCTGTAGGAACAACTTCGAGTACACCCTCGAAGCTTCCAAATCGCTGCGGCAGAAGCCAGGGGACAGCACCATGACGTACCTAAACAAAGGCCAGTTCTACCCTGTCACCTTGAAGGAGGTGAGCAGCTCTGAAGGCATCCACCACCCCATCAGCAAAGTCCGAGTAAGTCCTGCGCCTCGTTCTGTTCTCTGGAAAAGCTTGTCAGGTGTCCCCGGGTCCTGCTGGGTGCCTTGGAGCATGCCCGTCATTCCAGCACTCGGGAGGCTGAGGCAGGAGGATCTCTCCAGGTTCAAGGCCATCCTGGGCTCCATAGTGAGTTCAAGGCCAACCTGGACGGTGTAGCGAGACCCTGTCTGAAAACACCAGAGACACCTCTGTGTTTCTGAGTTGAAGCAGCTCTGAGGGACCGCTCGGAGTGCGCTTCTAAGCCTGAGCTATAGAATCCAGCTGTAGAGTTTGGCGGCAGCTGCTCACCCCCACGTCTTTCTGTCCGCAGAGTGTGATCATGGTGGTTTTCGCCGAGGACAAGAGCAGGGAGGATCAGCTGAGGCACTGGAAGTACTGGCACTCACGGCAGCACACTGCAAAACAAAGGTGCATTGACATCGGTAAGGACAGGGCTGCTGGGTCCCCGGGCACAGGCGCCGGCTTTCTAAACCCAGTTGTTTTTGGCAGCGGTCAGCTTCCTGCCGAAAGCACCTGACTCCTCTGCCAGCCACTGGTCCCTTCCAAAGCCCGTCCTGGGCTTCATGGAATGGGGCCTGTGCCCGGCAGCGGTCCCAGGTGTTTCCGGGGCCGGGAGAACATCGGGTTTGTGTTGTCGCTGTCTTTTTGGCCGTGCTGGAGGTGGCCGGGGGCCTCGCACGTGCTAGGGAAGTACTCTGACACCCGGCCCAGTCCGCACAGGTTTTAAGGGGTAACAGCTTTTTTAAGAGTTGCTGGCTGTGTGTGGTGGCGCACACCTGGAATCCTAGCACTCAGGAGCCTGAGGCAGGAGGATCACAGCAGATTTGAGGCAAGTGTGAGCTACACAGAGTGTTCAAGGCCAGCCTGAACTACATAGGGAAACTTTGTCTCAAAGAAACCCCAACCCTCTAAATAACCTTTTTAGACCTAATTTTCCTGATTTTTTTTTTCTTTTGGTTTTTTGAGATAGAACCTCATTGTATATTCCAGGCTAGTGTTGAACTCACTATGTAGCCCAGGCTGGCCTCAGACTGGTGGCGATCCTCCTGCCTCAGCCTCCCAAGTGCTGGGATTCCAGGCGTGCACCACTACAGCTAGTCCTAAATGTCCTGATTTTGACCCAGTGAGATTGAACTAAATATATCTAAGCTGCCTCTTTACCGCAGTTCACTTTTTTGAACTTCTTTCCACCCAAAGAAGCCTTCGACGTTTCAGGGCCCTGGGGTGGTAGAGTGGGAACGTGTGCATCCACTGTGAGCCGCCGTGGCTCCAGGCAGACGTGACCTCACGGCGCCCTCTCCACTCCCCACCAGCTGACTACAAGGAGAGCTTCAACACCATCAGCAACATCGAGGAGATCGCCTACAACGCCATCTCCTTCACCTGGGACATCAACGACGAGGCCAAGGTAGGGACCAGGCACACACATTTCCACCCCACAGGTGGCTACCGCCCGGCTGCAGACCATGGTCCAGGGCCGGATCTGAGGGCCAGGTCAGGTGGGCAGAGCAGGGGGACACTGCCTCCCCAGGGACCTTTCCCCAGTGCTGCGGGACAAGGCTCCTGGCCCGGGGCTGTGGGTCAGGCCCCGGTGCCAGCATCTCAGTGGAGTGAATGGGCTTTGAGCCAAGTGTGATGACGCATGCCTGTGATCCAGCACTCAGGAGGCTGAGGCAGGAGGGTTGCTGAGTGTGTTCAAGGCCAGCCTGAACTTCACAGTGAGGCCCTGTCTCAAAAAACTAAAATAAAAATAAATAAATCAGCGAGCTTCAGTAGGGTGGCTATTACTTTTCATCCTGTCTGTGCGCTGTGAGCCGTGGCCCCGGCCCTGGCCCTGACCGCGGTGTTGCAGGTCCCAGAAAGGCTCACATCACCGAGAAGGATCATGGGAGAACTTGGCTCAGGCCACTTGCTGCAGCCAGGCTCTGTCCCTATCCCCTCTGGGCCACCGCTGGCGCACCCAAGAGCGCATCTGGGAGGAGGCGGGCGGCGACGCGAATCCAGGACGCCTTGTGTGTGCTTGTGGGGCACGGGTTTACAGGTTTAATGACAGCACGTTGTTTTGTCTGAGCATAATATTTGGGACTCATCGTGACAGTGATTTTTAATTGGTTTGGGTTGAACACGGCGCCTGCATTTATGGGGATTCCATTGTGCTGAGACATGCCAGAGTGCCATCAAAGGAAGGTGGTGCTGTGTGGGCCGTGCCGTGTGAAGCCGGGGACAGGTTGGGTTTGTTTTACAACTTGAGATTCCCAGTGATGGGGGGGCGGGGGGCGGGGAGAAATGAGTCAACACCGACTTGACTTGTGATTGCAGCTAGGCCAAGGCAGGGATTTGAAACCAAAGTGTGCCGGGCGTGGTGGCTCAGGCCTGTAATCCCAGCACTCGGGAGGCTGAGGCAGGAGGATCGCTGAGTTCGAGACCAGCCTAGGCTACATACTGAGTTCCAGGTCAGTCTCAACTACATAGTGAGACCCTGTCTCAAAAATCCAAAAAAAAAAAGAAATCAAAGTGTATCCACCCTGGCTTACATAGAGAAGGAAGCGAGGAAGCAGGGTTACTTTTCTTTATTTATTTATTGGGGGGGTTTGAGACGAGGCTCAGGCTGGCCTCGAACTTGCAGCAGTCCTGCCTCAGCCTCCCGAGTGTTGGGATGACAGGCACTTGCCGCCATGCCCGGCAAGCTTCTCCTTTTTAAAAGCTGGTTCTGTTGGACTTCGTCTTGAGGCATTTTACAGTGTCCTGTGGCGTCTAAACCAGAGGATCCATTCTGGTGACGTGGGGCTCTGCAGGTGACAATAGGGCGCATTCACAATCCTCCGGCTCGGGAGCCTGGCCGAGAACTCCCTCCTTGGCAGGGAGCCGCAGTCTGTGTGGAGCCTGCACCTGTGAGACAGGTTCCCGGCACCTGCTGCTGTCCGCGGCCACACGCGCCGGCCCTGGAATCTGGTTCGTTCTCCTGTGGGGGTGGGGGCAGGCACATTATTCCCCATCCGACCTCTGTGCTGCCGTCCAGAGAAACATTGAGCCCTCTGCAGGACCTTCTCCGACCCCTTGTCACCTCCTCCTCCTCCCCTGCGTCCTTCCTGGGAACCCTGTCTGGGTGGAACCTCTACCTCTGCCATTTCAGCCGGTTCACTGCGTGGTCACCAAAGCATCAAAGCTGTGACAGCGACCAAGCTCCAGGGGTGGAAGCTCCCTGGATGGAGCAGGGTTTCTTTGCTTCCTTCTTTCTTTTTGATTTTTGGTTTTAGTTGAGATAGGGTTTTGCTGTGTAGCCCAGGCTGGCCTCAAACTCACAGAGATCTTCCTGCTTCAGCCTCCTGAGTGCTCAACCAAGCCTGGCTTCCTGAGCAAGATTTCAAGCCACCTTGGCCTTGGGGTCTGGGTTTTATGACAGGGGTGGCTGTCGTGTGCTCTTAGAGTAACTGCTGCAGTGGGACACTCAGGGTGGGAGCACCTGGCACCGAGACCCTGTGCTCAGCTCAGTGTCCCCGGGGAAGGCAGCACATGCTGTTGCCTGGGTCACCCTGCATCTACTCTCCAGACGCCAACACACACGTCCTGCTTACTTGGGACACGGGGGCCACATCGCCGCCCTACCAGGAGTCCTCAGGGTCCCCAGCCCCTGCCGGGATGAGAGGCACACAGGTTGGCTCCAAGGCTTCCCGCCTCCGCCTTGTGGGTCTTTTATCTCAGTGACTTTTTCCCCAGCTGCTGCACCCTGCAGAAACCAAGACTGCGTGGGCGGTGCTGAGGCAACAGCCAGCTGCTGACAGCCCTGTTTTCCTAAGGGCCACGCCCGCAGAGTGTGGGAAGAGCCTGACCTGCTCCTTCCCTCCACCCGCCATCCCCTCTCTGCCCTCACTGCCAGTTCCTCTGGTTTGTTCTTTTGAGACAGTGTCTCAGTATGTAGCCCAGGTTGGCCTTGACATGAAGTGATCCTCCTGCCTCAGCCTCCCAGATGCTGAGATGACAGGCATGCCCACCACGCCCAGCTTCTCCTTTCTCGATGCTCGCTTGAGAAGCAGCACAGATGCTTGCTGCACACTGACGTCCTTTGGGCCGTGGAGACGGCATCTGGCGGTGGGAACCTCGGTCACCTCCCGCCATGGTCCCCCTGAGGCCTGGCCGCCTGAGATTATCTCAGATCGGAGTTGGGACCCCTCTCGGTCCTGATGCCTCCGTGGGCTTCAGTGTAACGGAGCCTGCCCGGGTGGCCGGAAGTGGCAGCCCCCGGCTCCTAGTGAATAAGAGAACCGGGTCTGGTGCTGGCTGGGCCAGGAGGCCCTTGGATTGTGAGTGTCTGGTAATTAGACTCAGGAAGAATCAGATCTGGATTTCTAGTTGAAACTGTTCCCACTCCATTGGCTTCAGGTCATGTTTTCAACGTCATGCAAATGTATTAGAAGCCAAGCGTGGTGGCGCACACCTGTCATCCCAGCATGGGGAGGCTGAGGCAGGATGATGGACATGAGTTCAAGGCCAACATGGGCTTGGGACAAGGAAGGGAGGGAGGGAGGGAAGAAAGAAAGGGAAAGAAGGTAGATGGTGGTTTTTAAATTAGTTTTGTTGGACTTGAGCTGAGAAAAAACTGCATCGTGGACCTCACATTTTAATTTCGTTGTGAGGAGATTTCTATCATAAGAGCTTCGTAGAGCTGTCCAGAGCCATCTTTTTGGACCAACATGGAAGAGAATTCAATGCAAGTTAATTCTGGGGTTTCTGCTGTGGCGGAACAGATGGATGCCGCGCTGGGGATGACATCGTAGGTGTTTTTCTGTGTTTAAGTTGTTTTAATGTAAGGGTGAATTAAAGCGAGACAGATTTCCCAGGGCCCCGCGGCTGTCGGACTGCCACAGCCACGTTGGGCAGAGCTCGTGGCCACTGCTAAGTCCCGTGACTTATTTGGCGCAAAACGGAAATCCGACGTAAACAGTTCCGCTTGCAGTAACAGGACCTTTACTTTCTCCTCTCATGATCAGAGCAACCATCCGCTCACGCCCCTGGGGTCACCCCGCCCCCAGTTTCCTGCATTGTCAGCTTTTCCCCAGGTGCCAAAAGGGACAAGGCGATTGGAGACTTCTGGGTCCCGCGGGTGCTGTCATCTTAATCACATGTGGCTTTAGCCAGAGCCTGACCTGAGGCAGGGCTGGGAACGGTGACAGTGGAGATGAGAAGTGCATTTCACATCCTTGCGACCTCCTGAAGCACTTCCTGGGCCGCGTGAGCCCAGCTCTCTTCGTCCTTCGCCGCCGCCGCCTTTCCTGTTCACTCCCAGGCAGCTGGGCCCCCACGGGCCTGCTCACTGTGTGTCATCACAGAGGTGACAGCTGCCAGCGCCGGAACCAGTCAGACTCGCCTCTCACTCTTTCCAGGGAAATCGGTGCACAGCCACTGGGGCAGGAACTGGCTCGCATGTCCCAGAGCAGCTGCCCCGACTCGGCCTTCATTCATGCAAGCGTTCAGTCCCTCGTTTACCCAGCAGGTCACTGTCCTCCATGCAGGCCTGGAGGGCGGACAGGTGTCTCAGGTATGAAGCCTGTTGCCAGCAAGCTTAGAACCAGGCTTTCAGGGGCCAGGGATATAGCTCAGTGGTGCCACCACCTGCCTCACAAGTGCAAGGTCCTGAGTTCGATCCCCAGTACCAAAAAAAGAAAAAAACAGGCTTTCAGGACTTCCAGGGGAAGTGCTAGGGGAATCCTAGAAGGCTTTTTGTTTTCTGAGACAGGGTCTAGCTATATAATCTAGGCTGGCCCTGACTCACAGCGATCCTCCTGCCTCAGCCTCCTGAGTGCTGGGATAACAGGTGTGCACCGCCACGCCTGGCCATGGCTTTATTAAACGACAGAATTGTTCTTTTCTTTTCCTCCTCTTCCCCCCACAGAGCAGCCCTTGTGAATTTAGGTGGGAGAGAGGCAACAGCTTAGTTGGAAGAGGGGCTCTAACATCCCAGGGCCCGGCCACCAGGTAGGGCAGTAAGAAACATCAAGGTCACATTGGAACCCAGGAGAGTTAGAGACCGTACCCCATGTGTAACTCAACAGGAGGCTACAAGTGAAAGGTTCGCCTGTATTTAATCATCAAATAAAATGTTTTTCTTAGATAGCTGCATTTTCTTGGCAGGCGTGGTGGTATACACTTGCCATCGCAGCACTCAGGAGGCTGAGGCAGGAAGATCCCTATGTTTGGGGAGCCAGCCTGGGCTCCACAGTGAGACCCTGTCTCAAACCATCTCTGGCCAAAAAATGATTTTCAGTTGCTTCCATCGTGCCTGCTGGAAACAGGCCCTCAGGGAACAGGCCACCAGGTCTGTCCGGCGCATCCTGTTTCCTTGGTCCTCTCATGTCCCACTCTTCTTTGTGGACCAGAAGCAGCAAACTGAACAGCATTGTGTGGCTGCCTTGATGCTTCCTGGAAAACGGTTAGATGTCAGTTTAGGGTCCAATTCCTCTGCCTTCTGTGTTTAGAATAAAATAATCTAAGCCGGGCGCGGTGATGCATGCCTGTATCCCAGCACTCTGGGAGGCTGAGGCAGGAGGGTCATGAGTTTGAGCCCAGCCTAGGCTACTTGGTGACATAGCAAGAACCTGCCTCAAAATACGAGCTGGGATGTATCTCAGTGTGAAGGCTCTGGGTTCAATCCATGCTGCTATCCAAACAAAACCACACCACACCACACCTGTTTTACAAGTCATTGCTCAAATAATGGACATCTCTTCATCTCCCTCCCATTTTCAAACAAAATGAAATCTTCAGAAAGGTTCTAAAAGCGTGACTTCTTAACCCAGAATGAGGAGCTGTCCCCGGGAAGATGGGATGCACGTTTGAAATGAATCTTGCCGGGCATCTTTGGCGTGTTCAGCAGTTTATTTTGTGGTTAGTTTTTTTTTTTTTTTTCCTTCCTTCCTCTGATAATTTTTGGTGGGAACATCAGCTGCTCATCTTTAGGGATTAGTGGCCTCGTGTTGGAACAAATCCTACTTCCCCTCAAAGTACGGAGCAAGGAAACACAAAGGCACGGACGTGTCATCTTTGGAAGTCCCGTTGTATGTGGTTTTGGTTATCGTTTTTGCTACTTAGCCCAGGCTGGCCTTGAAGTCACGGCAGTCTTCCTGCCTCAGCCTCCTGGGTGTTGTGATGACCTGCGTGTTCCACCGCACCAGGCCGAAATCCCATCACAGGGGTCCTGTGTCCTCTGAAGAGGGCAGCTGTGTGTGCAGCCCGTTCTCAGCCTTCCCCAGCAGAGCTTCCGAGTGCCATGTGTGTGCTCACTGACACGCTTGCACATGCGTGTGTCACAGGCGGGCTGCAGTGTGACCCATCCCACCCCTGTCCTGTCCTCTGAGCATCGCTGGTGCTGATTCTGCCATGGCATCTACGGAGTATTTGTCTGCCTGGTGAGGATGGCTGAACATGCGCTCGCCTGGCCCAGTGCCTTTCACACAGAGACAGAACCAACCTTAGGTCTTAAAACTGTGAGAAGCCACACGTGAGGTGTGGGCCAGTAAACTCAGCTCCTGGGAGGCTGAAGCAGGAGGATGGCTGAAAGTTTGAGGGCAGCCTGGGCTACATAGTGAGTTCAAGGCCTGCTTGCACTATAAAGCAAGACTGTCTTAAAATATATATATATACGTATGTATATATGTACATATATATATATATTCTTATTTTACAGGGCTGTGTCTCTGTAAAGTTAATACCTGATGGGTTACATATAAATGCACGTAAGAGTATTTGAGCTCTGTGTGTGGTACTGGGGATTGAACCCAGGGTCTATACACTGGGCTGCATCCCATTACTCGATATGTAGTCCAGGCTGGTCTTAAATTCCCAGCAACCGTCCTGCCTCAGCCTCCCAAGTCCTGCAATTTCAGGCACACCCTTTTGGTCTCATCTTTTCAGGGCTTTTCAGGACATTGTGGGCTTTTCCTGCTTAGAAACAGTACATAGAGGATGGGTAGACACCCTGTTCACATTTTACACGCTGCCAAGTGCTGTCATTTTGTTTTTGTTTTTGTTTTGTACCGGGAAGCAAACTTGGGAACTTGTGCTGGCGAGGCAGGCGTTGGAAACACTGAGCTAAACCCCCAGCCCCGCGGGCTCATGGTGTTAGGGTTCATCTTCCCGTTTATGTTTCCTTCACAGGGTTTCCTGTGGAGACGCCTGGTGCTGCAGGTGGCTGCGCTTTAAACAGTGGTTCCATGTGTGTCCACGAGGTGGCGCTCCTGCATCGGGAGTGAATTCTAAGCCCAGAAGCTTTGCGGGGACTGGTGTAGATTGTAAGATTCACAATCACAGCACTAGTGGGAAGTGTGTGTGTTGAGCCCCCACCGTCCTGAGCAGACGGCAGTGTTCTGATAACATGCGCCGGGGGATGGTGGGGGCTGGGGTGGTGATTCCGGATCAGTGCTCTCCAGTCAGTGCAGGAGCCCCTCTGCCTTTGGAACCTGGTCTTCAGGAGTTGTCCCTGTGGGTCAGTGGCCATTCCAGTGCCGTAAAAGACAACACACTTGGGAAACCAGGCGACACCCTTTTTTATTCTTTATCTTGAGACGGGGCCTTGCTAAGTCCCTCAGTTCCCCCTTGCAATCCTCCTGCCTCAGCCTCCCAGAGCTGCATGCAGCTGACTGGTGAGCCGGCCCTCTTGCGGAGAAGTCCAGCTGGTCTTTTTTCTCTGGGATGGGGACCCCCAGCACTGCGTCTTCCGGCAGCCTCCGGACGTTTCCACTGCGTCTCCAGAGCTCCCTTCCGTCAGGGTGTGGCCGCGTCTCCTGGTCACTGTGTCCTCTTCTGCGACCCTGCAGTCCTGCCTGGAGCTGACAACACTTCCATCTCCCTTTGCCCTGGGCGTGGAAAGCTGAGAACCCAAGCGACATTAAACAGTGGGCTTCCGGGTCTGTGCTGAGGGCAGCAGCACTGGTGGATGATGACACTGCCGCCCCGTGCCGCCTGTCCTGCCTGACGCTGAGCTGCCCTGGAAGGGGGTGAACAGAGCTTCCGAGTGTCCTGTCCCTCCCGGTGTTCTTGAGACAGAGTTCGAACTCACTGTTTCGTTTTCTTTGTTTTTGAGTTCGGGGATCGAACTCAGGACCTTGTGCTTGGGAGGCAGATGCTTTGCCACTGAGCTCCATCCCAGCCCCAGCCTCGATCTCAGTGCAGTCCTCCTGCCTCAGCCCCCCAAGTGCTGGGCTGACGGCATGGGCCCGCGTGCCCGGCCTGCCGCTCCCGATCCCATGGCTGGAAGTGGGGCTCACCGAGCCTTCTCCCGCAGGTCTTCATCTCTGTGAACTGCCTGAGCACCGACTTCTCCTCACAGAAGGGCGTCAAGGGGCTGCCGCTCAACATCCAGATCGACACCTACAGCTACAACAACCGCAGCAACAAGCCGGTGCACCGCGCCTACTGCCAGATCAAGGTCTTCTGCGACAAGGTGAGGGCACCGCCTGCACAGCTGAATTAGTAGCGGCTCCATCACTGTGGGCTCTGTTTTGACAAAGGCACGGCGCTGGGTGGGCTGCGTCCCCAGCCTCAGGACAGCAGCAGGATGGACCTCAGTTCTCCTCCCTGGCACAGGCCCAGGATGGCCGTGGCAGCCCCGGCTCTCGGGGCATGGTGGGCACACTCCCTGGTGCCCTGCACAGCGCCCTGGGGTGAGCAGCGACACACAGAGTCTGGTGGCCTGGGCAGGAGGGGAGGAGCCCGGGTGTGAGAGCAGAGGAAGGGACGGGCTGTGGAACTCAGATTCAAAACTACTGGGCTCTGTACACCTGGCATCCTGGCATTCTGAGAGGCTGAGGCAGGAAGATCGCAAGTTCAAGCCCTACCTGGGGACGCAACAAGACTTTGTCTCAGAAGTTAAAAAAAAAAGAAAAATGGCTAAGGACGTAGCTCAGTGCAGAGACCCTGGGGCTTAATCCCCAGTTCAAGGAATACATAAAAGAAAGTCCCCATGGTTCCCAGTGGCCAGTTTCGTAGAGCAAGAGGTGACTTGCGAATGAGCCCCTTTGAGGAGAGGGCTGTGGTGAGCCAGAGAGGAAGACGCTTCCTGGTAGGTGATCCGGCCGCAGAACCCTGTCCCATTTCCTTTACTGCAGGGAGCTGAGCGGAAAATCAGGGATGAGGAGCGAAAGCAAAGCAAAAGAAAAGGCAAGTGTGCCTCGAGCTCCGGGGACCGTAAGTAGCCACGTCCCCTCCCTGTGACGAGGGGGTGAGGGGTGCCTGCGGGTGGCCTCCCCTGCACAGGAGGGCGACACAGGGGGCTCTGGATTTGCAGTCAGAGCGGCGCCCGGGGAACTCGGAGGCCGTAACTCCAAGTGACAGTCATCTGTTCCCGGCAGTAGCGCTGGCGCTCGCGTTCCGCCGGGGAAGCCATTTGCGCAGCGTGACTGATACTCATAGTCATCAAACACGGCTGCCGACGGCCACGTGCTTGCCTAGTGCTGGGCTCAGCCTCTGGGTGCCCCAGGGGAGCGGCGCCCAGGGCCCGTTACCAAGGGCACCAGCCAGGCCGGGGAGGGTGGCCCTGTGACCCCTGAGGTGAACGCTGGTCCTGCCCACCGTCAGCTCCGCCTGCGAGCTGGAGAGGTGTGAGTCAGAGGGTGTGGGAGGCAGAGGATTTAGTTCTTACAAACTGCCCAGCCCACCAGACGCCCTCCTCTCTGCCAGTGTGCTCCTCCCAGCGTCCTGGCCTCTCTGCAGCACCTCCGAGTCCTCTCTCCTGAGGGTCTTAGGCTGCGCTGTCCTGGCTGCCTTGATGTCCTGAATGGATTTAAAACGTCTCCCTTCATGGTCACTGTGACTTTGGGGGAGTTGCACAGTGCTAGATCTGATAGGGTGAAGGTAGATGAGGACGCAGCATTGTGTGTTTTTGTTTTGTTTTGATTTGTTTTTTGGTTTTTGTTGTTGTTGTTTTGAGATGGGGTCTCACTGTGTAGTTGAGACTGACCTGGACCTCACTGTGCAGCCCAGGCTGGTCTCAAACTCAGCGATTACAGGCGTGCGCCACCACGCCCGGCTATTATTGTGTTTTGAGACAGGGTCTCCCTCTGTAATTCAGGCTGGCCTTGAACTCATGGTGATCCTCCTGTGATCCTCCTGCCTCGGCCTCCCGAGTGCTGGGATTACAGGTGGGCACCACCTTGTCTGGCAGAGCCTCTTGTTTTCACAAACCTGCCTTTCTGTTGGATGGCGCTCGGCGGCAGCAATCACTGTATTTGTGGTCACACCTGGTGACGACCCTCAGGAAAGAGGTCCCCAGAGCTGCTGCAGGAAGTGGCGAGGACGATAGGAGGAGGGTGTGCAAAGCCAGGAGAGGATTCTGAGGGGGATTCGTAGTAGTGTGCCTTTTACTGTAACGCTTCTCACACCTTTTTAATGTCCCCTGTATTTTTTGATCACACCTCATACTTGTAAATTGTGCTCTCTCAGTGAGCTTTGGCCTTTCAGGCAAAAACTAAATGAAATGGGCATTTCCCGTGTCCCGTCTTGTGTGCACGTGTCACTGTTTAAAGACCCCTCTTCCTGTTGATCTCAGTGAGGCATCTGGTTGACTTTATGAGAAGCGCCACAGATTCTTGTACAGAAGCTGTGATCTTCCTTAGTGTAGCAGCATGACCTGTACCTCACACAATGCTTTACTTCAGACTCCTTAGCCTGGGAGGAAAATGCGCTGTGCAGTGTGCTGACGCCGGCTGCCTCTTCCTCCCTTCCAGTTGCTGACGTTAAAGTTCCACTGCTCCCGTCCCACAAGCGCATGGACGTCACAGTGTTCAAGCCTTTCCTCGACCTCGACACACAGCCGGTGCTCTTCATCCCCGATGTGCACTTCACCAACCTGCAGCGGGGCGTGCATGTGGGTCCTGGCGCTGGGGTGGTGACGAGGCCTGGCAACAGCAGAGTCCTGGGGTGGGGGGTGTAGCTCAGTGGTGCTGTCCGTGCCTGGAAAGCACAAGGTCCTGAGTTCGATCCCTGGTACCACAGACAGACAGACAGACAAAACGGATTCCTTGCTGGCCACAGTGGTGCAAGCCTGTCGCCCTAATTGCTCTGGGAGGCTGAGGCAGGAGGATCCCAAGCTGGAGCCCCGCCTGGGCAACTGAGCGACTTACTGGGATCCTGACTTAAAATTAAAAATAGAAAAGGGGGTGGTGGTGTGGTATTCAAGTAGCCCAATTCAGAATCATTCCCATTAGGAATATTTGTGGTCTGAAACATTTTGAGCTTATATTTGAAAAGCAATCTGTTTTCACCTTAGGTTCTCTCTATTGCCTCTGAAGAATTAGAGGGTGAAGGGTAAGTTTTATGTTTTAGTTTGGTTTGGTTTTGTTTTTTTTCCCTTTGGATTTTTGAGTCAGGGACTCGGTATGTAGTCAGGCTGGCCTTGAGCTCATTGTGTAGCCCAGGCTGGCCTCAAAGTTTCCAGGCTATGCTTTGGGTTTTGTTTATTTATTTTTTGTTTTTTCAAAATAATCTCCAACCGGGCCAGGGATTCAGCTCAGTGGTTCCCCCACCTGCCTTATGAGCGCAAGGTCCCGAATTTGATCCCTGGTACCAAAAAAAAAGGAAAATAATCTCCAACTTACAGAAAAATTAAGTGCAATCCAAAGAACTCATTTTTTCCTGGGCCACTGAGGCATCAGCTGCCAACCCCAGCCTCATGTCCTGGGGCGGATGTCACTGTCGACCTCTCCTCACCCTCCGGCCTCACCCCATTCCTGTGTTCTACTTGTTCCAGTGATGTCCTTTCCAGAGCCCAGTGTGGTGGCACAGGCCTGTCCCCCTAGCACTCGGGAGGCTGAGGCAGGAGGGTCACCACTAGCTCCAGGCCAGCAGGGCCTATGTAGTGAGACTAAGTCCAGAGCCAAGCACTGAAGCCCTTCACTGGGGTGAAAGTCGCTAATGGTTTATTTTGGGTCCTGGCCCACAGGTCCACTCTGAAACGGGGACCATATGGGACAGAAGATGAGTTTGCCACTCCTACTTCCGCCAAGCTGACCCGGATGGAAGAACCAAAGAGAGGTACAGTGCAGCGCCGGGCCTCAGTGCACATGGGGCGGGGCGGGGCAGGTCCGTCTGTACCTGGAGCCTGAGACTTACCTGTGTCTTCCCTCCCTTCGCATCTCCTGCCCTCGGCCTGGCCAGTGCTGCTCTATGTGCGGAAGGAGGCAGAGGAAGTCTTTGACGCCCTGATGCTCAACACCCCGTCCCTGAAGGGCTTGACCGAGGCTGTGAGTAGGGTCTAGGTGTAGTCCCCTTGGGGTCCTGGTTGGTTGGTTTGGTTTGGTACCGGGAACATGGGTCCTTGAGCTTGAAAGGCAGGCGGCGGCACCACTGAGCTAATCTCTGGCCCGGTTTGGTTTGGTTTGGTACCAGGGATCGAACTTGGATCCTTGTGCTTGCGAGGCAGGTGCTGGAACCACTGAGCTATATGTCCGGCCCCCTGTTTTGTTTTTTGAGACAGGGTCTCGCTTTGTAGTTCAGGCTGGCCCTGAACTCACTGTGTAGCCCAGGCTGGCCTGGAACTCACAGCGATTCTCCTGTCTCTGCCTCCGGAGTAATGGGATTACAGGTGTGCGCCACCACGCCCGGCTGGTTAGTTGGTTTTCGAGACAGGATCTCCCTGTGTAGCCTAGACTGGGCTTCAACTCAAGACCTTCCTGTGTCAACCTTCTGAATGCTGGAGTGATAGGCATGCGCCACCACTCCCAGCTTCTGCCACCTTTCCTTAGAAATCACATAAAGCCTTGATCTCAGGGAGAGAAGAGTAGAAAAGGTGGGGGATTGCTGCAGCACTGTGACCTGTCACAGGCCTGTAGGTGCCCACCGCAAGGGATCCCGACTTGAGGGTTGTCACAGTGATCAAGCCCCAGAAAAGGGCTGGACTGGCCAAGTCAGCTGTTTGTCCTTGGGAAAAGTCATCTTGTTTTCTTTGAAAGTCACCTCAGCCAGGCATGGTGGTGCACACCTGTAGTCCCAGCACTCAGGAGGATGAGGCAGGAGGATCGCCATGAGTTCCAGGCCTGAACTCTATAGGGAGACCCTGTTAAATAAAACTACTCTGTGAAAAGAAAACTGTTAATTAAGAAAGAAAAACTCTGGCTGTGTAACTCACTGACCTTGCCCTGGCTTTGAAACTTTTGTCCAAGAAGCTGGCTTACACACTTGTGTGTAAATTGGGGGGCAGCACCGAGCCTGCTCTTGGGGTAGGTCTCACACACACCCCAGGGACACAGCCTGTGCTGCTTCTGTCTCCATGTGTGTCTCAGAAAAGCACCACGTTGGGTGTGCGTGTGCGTCCTCGGGTTTGAGCAGTGTTTTGTAATTAGTATTTTTTCCGCTGTCTTAGATCTCAGACAAGTATGACATCCCCCATGACAAGATTGGGAAAATATTCAAGAAATGCAAAAAAGGGTAAGCGGTGAGTGGGGAGGGGCCCCGCGTCCTCCGGGGCGAGTTGTAACACGGTGGCTGTGGATCGCAGCTCCTACACCCTAACGCTGCCACTCCCTTTTCCTTATTAAACTATTTACTTAAAACTGACCTACCTTTGACGACTATCTCTGGATACTCTTTTATCTTTCTTTTTGATTTTTTGAGACAGAGGGTCTCGCTGTGGCCTTGAACTCACTATGTAGCCCTGCTGGCCTCAGTCTCGCAGTGATCCTCCTGCCTCAGCCTCCTTGGCCTCCAGTGCTGGGATCGCTGGCGTGCACCAGCAGGACGCTGGGCTCTTCCCTTCCTTTAACCATCACCTCAGTCCAGGCAGTGCCCTGCCCCGTGTTCCCCGGGTTTATGAAGCGGCGGTGGTGCAGAGGGACTCACTGGGTGTCCTCCCCAGCATCCTGGTGAACATGGATGACAACATCGTCAAGCATTACTCCAACGAGGACACCTTCCAGCTGCAGACGGAGGAGGCCGGGGGGTTGTACAAGCTCACGCTCACGGAGATCTAGGGCCCAGCCTGCAGCCCCGGGTTCACCGCCCTGCAGACCCAGGTGACCCCCGGGGGGGGATCCTTCCTTGCCCTAGAGACAGATGCTTTGAACCAGCCGGGGGCCGTCTGCAGAGGACGGGAGGCAGCGCAGCCCGCATCGCCACCCTGGGCCCAGTGTGCTGGCCATGGGCAGGGCTGTCGGCCCTGTGGGGCGCCAATCAGACCAGGTGGAGGTGCAGCTGCGTTGTAAATCAGTGCAATAGCGCCGTGAAGGCCCGCGTGGAGATGTGTACATAAGCAGCTGACAGATATCTAATATATACCCGCGGGCCACACGCGTACGCAGTGGGGCTCGAGCAAGCGCAGGGAGACCCAGCCGTGGGAGCCGCCGTCCCCCCAGAGCGGACAGACACCACGCCCCCACGTCTCATGCTGGCGGCCACAGGAGTCCTGTCCCGCGCAGAGCAAGCAGCGGTCCCACACACGCCGGCAATGATTGTGAACCCGGCCCTGAACTCAGAATGGACCTCCTCCTCCTCTCCTCTTCCTATTCTGAGAAATGGTTTGAGCCTAAATCCCAGCACTTGTAGGCCGAGGCAGGAGGATCCCTGGGAGTTCAAGGCCAGCCTGAGCTACATAGTGAGTTCCAGGTCAGTCTGGACTACATAGCCAGATCCTGTCTCCAAAAACACCAAAGCAAAGGAAAGAAATGATTTTTATCATGTTTCAGAACCTCTGAAGTTTGATCATCTGGAAGGTTTACAGGTCTGGGAAGCATTTGTGAATTTCTGAATCTATGTCACTGTGCCAGGGCAATGTTTTGTACACATGTTTAAATATATAAAAATCCTTCAAATGTAATTTTATGATAGAAACACTAAGGAAATAAAATCACGGGTATCGAGGTTCAGGGAGCAACTAGAATAGGTCATCTGAGTAGCACTGATGATTGCATTTTTAGGTTAAAAATATTCTAATGAAATATGTGAACTAAATCGCCAGCTTTCTAAGATATCTTGGGACACGGGTCATATTTTATATTTTGTTTTATGAAGCTGATTTTGTCTTGTTGTTTTTGTGTCATTGAAGATGTGTTTTAAACCAAAGGGATTAAATTTTATATGTCTATTTCATAAGATGTCATTTCCCTTTATTCAGTTGAAATTTAGCAGTTTTTGGTCAGTCGGTGAAACAAAATTGAGACCTTAAAATATTAGCAGTGGCCGGGATGTAGTGACGCACACCTGTAATCCCAGCACTTGGGAGACTGAGGCAGGAGGATTGCCGTGAGTTTGAGGCCAGCCTGGGTTACATAGTTCAAGGCCAGCCTGAACTGCATAATGAAACCCTGACTCAAAAAATACCAAAAAAAGCATATTAGCAATGAAATCCATCTGCTTATATTAGCATTTTCTTATTTCTTCATATATATTAGATTACTTTCATCATGTTAAGTTTTCCTTACGGGTGTCCAAAAGATCAAAATAATTATCTTTGTTTGTATGTTTGTTTGTTTGTTTTTGAGACCATTTCACTATGTACTTCAGGCTGGCTTTGAACTCATGGCGATCTTCCTGCCTCGGCCTCCCCAGTGCTGGGATTACAGATGTGCATCACCGCACCCAGCTTCACATAGTTGTTAAATAAAGGAGCGCTGCACACCTTTTGGATACTTAACCAAATTCAGGACAGGGACAGGCCCAGCAGGCAGAGGGAGAAAAGCGCCTCTCCTGTCCCTCTCCTGAGCAAGGTCCCTGTCCAGCCAGGCCCTGTGCTCTGGCTCTCTACCCACAGCCTGGTCCCCACACACTGACTCCCAGTACGGCTGCGGGTCCCACAGCTGTCCCGGTAACCAGTGGCCAGGCAGGGCTGTCCTCGGGTGTCCAGCCCAGCTGGCAGGCGGCCACCAGCCCCAGTTGGAATCAGCAACCCTTTGCCCTACTTCAAGTGCGTGCTGCCCCTCTGCACTGCGCTGGCACCAGGGCCCCGCCATTCCCTGCAGAGGCCCTGGAGAGCAGGTTGGAGCAGAGGCCACCGTCAGCACCCCAGAAGCCGCTGACTCCCGTGCCCATCCTGCCACCTTGCCACCACCAGGCCTCGGGACAAGCAAGCGGAGCTTCACCCTGAATGCCGAGAGTCCCAGGCCTGGCGTTCCGAGCCACCTCAGGTGGTGGTGGGTGAAACCGGGGTGGGGACCAGCGAGGGACACCACTCTTCCTTTCTCTTCTTTTTCCTTCCTTCCTTCCTCTCCTGAAACCAGCCCTTCACACTCAGCTTCCTCCCCAGACTTATCTTTTATTTTGAGTCAGGCTCTCACTAAGTCACTGGCTTGCCCAGGCTGGACTCAAACTTGCTATCCTCCTGCCTCAGCCTCCCAGAATGCTGGGATCACACTGTCTTCTCTCTAAGAGACCCAGGAGTTTGAGGGTGGGTGCTGGTCACACTAGAATGTTTCATGACAATGCTGTGCTGGTACCAGTGGTGGCAGCGGTGGGCAGGGACATGGGGGTGGGGACTGGCGGTGCCTCAGGAATCCCCTCAAGTGACACCTGGGTGTGACGCCAGTCCTGGGATACTGTCCAGGGTTTGGGCAGAGCGGAGAGGGAGGAGCCAGCCTCCCGTTCCCCTCTGGGTGCTGGATTCCACCCTGGGTGCCTCTGGTTGACGCCTCTCCGCCTGTGTTCTCAGCAGCTCTGAAGACCCGCAGGAAGCCAGGCCTGGTGGCACACACCTGTAATGCCAGCACACGGGAGGCTGAGGCAGGAGAACTGCAGCACATCGAAGGCCAGCATGAATTACATAGTGAGAACTTATCTCAAAAATGTTTTTAAAAAATCCAGAGGAAAGCTGGGGAACAGCCTGCGCCCCCTCCTCCCCAGGCAGACCGGTGTCACCGCTCGGGGTCTAGGCTGAGTCCTAAGCCTGAGGCTCCACGGCCAAGCTTCCCACAGCCTGGAAGGGTGGGGCGTAGCGGCTGAGACGACACAGATTTGGGAGACTGAGCTGGCACTGGAGTGGAGGCGGATGTGGTGGGCAGAGCTGTCGCCTCCTCCCCACGTCCCTCACCTCCCAGCACCCCTGTGAATCAGCAGAGTGAAGACAGCACTCAGGCTGGAACTGACCTGGGACTCTGGCTCGAAGAACTGACCCAGCTTAGTAGTGCACAGGAGGGGAAGTGGCTGTTTAGACTCCACCACCCAGTGGGGCGTGGTGGCGCAGGCCTGTGATCCCAGCACTCGGGAGGCTGATGCAGGAGGATCACCCAAGTTCAAGCCAACTGGGGCTGTGTGGTAAAACCTTGTCTCAAAATATACACAAACAAAAACCAACAACAAACAGTGGACCAGAGTCCTGCTGGTGGGAGTGGTGTGTGCGCGCCAGCCCCGAACTGCTGACCTCCTGGGCCGGTCACAGGTCACAGGGCCTCTTGGGCAGGGTTCCTGGAGAGGAGCCTCTGACTTCCAGGAAGATGAGCTAAAACAGTGTTTCCCTGTGCCTGGGTCTAGGCCAGGACATGAGGCTGGGACAGCAGCAGTGGGAGCCGAAGGAGGGGTGGGAGAGGCTGAGGTCTGAGCTCACGGAGCTGGGACTTCATGAGTACAGGGGCTCAGTCTGCAGACTGCACAAGTCATGTCTGTGTGTGTGTGCACACGTGTGTGCACGTGTGTATGGTGTGTGATGGTCAGGGTTCTAGGAATTAGGGTTGAATACAAAGTCCAGAATAGTCTTTTGTGTGTGTATGTATATGTGTGGCGTTGTGAGACAGGGTCTCATCATGTAGCCCAGGCTGGCCTTGTACTCACAGTGATCCTCCTGCCTCAGCCTCCTGAGTGCTGGGATTGTAGGAATGTGTGGGAAACTTCTCTATCCTTCCAAAACATTCCTGTGCCTTTTCTAAAATCATTTCCCGACCCCTCCTGCCCCTGATACCCACGGTTCTGATTTCAATCCTTTTGGAAAGATTCAGCCTGGCATAGTGGCACCCACCTATAATCCCAGAGTTCTGGGAGGCTGAGGCAGGAAGATCGCCATGAGTTCAAAGGCACACTGGGCCACTAGGCTGGGTAACTTAGTGACTTACCCTGTCAGAAATTTTTAAAATGTTAAAAAGGAGCTGGAGAGATGGCTCAGTACTGAGGCCCTGGGTTCAATTCTCAGAATTTAAGAGAAAAATGTAGAATTTTATATTCACTGTATGTCTTAGGTATAGAATTTCAGCAGCCATGCAGTCAGGGTGGCCCTAGACCTGTCCCGTCAAGGGCTAAAAACAAGCTCCATTTGAGAAGCCTGATGTGTCTGTAAATCACCTAGGTGCCCCCCCACCGGAACCTAAAGGAAGGCCACAGAACCCAGACTCCAGCAATATGAATATGCTAGCAGAATATCCAGCATCCAATCAAACATTACTAAACATGGGGTAAAGCTGAACACTGGATCACAACCAAGAGAGAAAGTAGAAGAAACAAAGGAGCTTAATTCAGGGGCAACAAAAGACAGAGTGCACTTTGTAGCTATTTTATTTTGATAATGTTTGGTAGCATTGTCATAAAAAATACAGTAACTTTCAAAAGGTGTCTTGACAAAAAGAAAAAGCCAGGCATGGAGGTACGTGCCTGCAGTCATAGCACTCGGGAAGCTGCTAGTGCAGGCCAAAGCAAGGCCAGTGTGGGGTACATAGTGAATTCAAGGGCAGGTTGAGGGCCAGGATGTAGCTTAGTGGCTCCAAGCCTGCCTGGCAAACACAAGGTTCTGAGTTTGATTCCTGGTACCAGAACAAAAGGTGGGGGGCTGGGCAGCTTGAACTACAGAGGAAGATCCCGTCTCAGCAAGCCAGGCATCATGGTGCATGGTATAAGCCCAGCTCTCATGAGTCTGAGGCAGGAGGATCACTGTTAGTTCAGGGCCAGGCTGGACGACATAGTGAGTTCAGGCTGGCCTGAGCTACAAGTCAAGACGCTGTCTCAAAAGAAATAAGTAAAAAGGAATTAAAACGAAATTTTTAAAATTAGAAAACCTGCCAAGCATGGTAGCACACACCTGTCATTCCAGCAGTCAGGAGGCTGAGGCAGGAAGATTGCAATGAGTTCCAGGCCAGCCTGAATTACAGAGCAAAACCCTGTCGCCCCCCCCCCACCCCCCAAAAAAGACTTGCAAGCACAAGGACCCAAGTTCGATCCTGGTACCAAAATGAAAGAAAAAAAATTAAAATAACACTACAAAAAGATTTTCTTAAAAAAAAGAGGGCTGGGGATTTAGTTCAGCAGTTCAGTGGCCTGCCTTGCAAGTGCAAGGACCCGAATTCGATCCCCGGTACCCCCCCCAAAAAAAGATTTTCTAAATCACCCATACAATCATCCATTACCCAAATGTAATTACTTGTTGGTATTTTATTTATTTTGTGGTACCAGGGACTGAACTCAGGTCCTTATACTTGCTAAGCAGGTGGTGGAACCACTGAGCTAAATCCGCAGCCCTGCTGTCGGTATTTTAGTAACATTTTTCTCTTTGAAGTGTTGTGTTCCTGCATGGGACTCCGCTCCTGCTCCTCCCTTCGGTTTTGGGTTTCTCAGTGACGCCATTTCAGAAAGCATTTTCTGAAATTCTCTGTGACTTTGAGCCTGAATTGC